CTCCTCCTCCTCCTCCTCCTCCTGCTCGCGTTATCCGAATGCCTACCGCGACAAACGCAATTTGCCTCAGATATTAATTCGGCTAATGGATTACCCGTTAAGCGTCGCGGAACGATGCCACGCGGTCGCCAGCCAACGCTCGCACCTGCTCGCCGAAAATACGCTCGCTCTCTCGAATCTCATCACGGATCAGACTCGGGGAGAAAGGAATTCGCGCGATGCCCTAGATATCTTCCCCCTCTCTCTTTCCCTCTCTTTTCGCTTTTCTTTTTCTTTCTTCCTCCCCTTCCAACGTAATTTTCAAAAGTTCGTCGGGTGGAAAAAAAATTCACGGCAGCAAGAGAATTAACGTGGGACGACGCGTCAAGCGCGATTGTCTTGATACTCGAAAAGAAGGGGATGCGTTTTAAAAACGGCCACGAACGCGCCTGTGTGTCCTTCCGCTTCCTCCGCTTCCCCTTCTTCCTTTTCGTATCCGTGCGAGCTCGCAATTACGACACATTCGAAGGACCGTACTTCTCTCGAGGTAAAAAGAATTCCACTCTTGCGAGATGTTCTCGCACAGCGCGATTAAATGACGTGGAACGGAACCGCGGAACACGAACACGCGCGTGTATACATATACATATACAGATATACTTGGCTTGGCGCAAAGTGGAAGGCGCGGCGCGGAAAGGGAGAAAGGGAAGGACTGTGCTAACGAGGCTCCGAGGATCGAATCAAGACCGAATCTCCGCCGTTGATTGACCAGGGCGAATCCTGGAACAGGGTGAAGGCTAATTAGCTACCCGGATTTCTCTACGTGACCCGGGATCCCGAGACGTGCCGATTATGGTTGCTCCGAGCGTCTTAATTTCAACCTCCGCAGGGTTGAAACCGAGAGGCATTATGCCCGCAATAATGGCGGCGTCGGTCAAATTTCACTTTGAACTCGACCGGTTTCGAATCTCCCGCCAACCCCTTTAAACAGTCCCTCTAAGCGACCTGAAATTCGTCCCCTCCGATATTCCCTTTGAGCTGCGATAACTAGGCGCTACTTAAGCCGACCGATTCCCCGACCAAACACTTCCGCCTCTCCTCTTCCGCTCCTCTCGTTAAGTCGGCCCTTCAGTCCCGTGAAAATCGGATATATGCTCTTTCGAACGGATATTTCGAGCGGTGACGGTGTCGAATTTATCATATCGGTTGTTTTCTTTTTTTCCGGAAGAAAATCGAACCAATTTGAATACCGAATACCGTAGCTTTAATTAATTCGAAGGGTATTTGTTTGATGAGCGCGAAAGGTGAACGTGCGACGATGAGCGCATCTCTTTTTCTCTCTCTCTCTCTTTCTTCCTTTGATCTTGCGTAACTTGCCCGTTATAAAACTTTTGTCGCTCGACACATGCTACTTTCTGCTGCCTGTTATTAGTAAAAGCGTGTGACAAAAGCTGGAAGCTTATTACGATATTCCGCGGTCTTTTTTAACAGCTCGTTACGCGGCTTTAACTTTTCTCTCTCTTTTTTTTTTTTCTTTTTCTATCTTTATTCCGATTTTCTTCTCACAGGCGATAATGCCTGTGAAAATTCGAGGTTTGAAATCTCGTCCAAGCGAAGAACAAGCAGAATGGGATTGAGAACGCATTTTTCGCAGCGTTGAATCGACGCTGATTCGATTTCCTGCCGATTCGAAGGCGAGGAACGCGTACAATTAGACAGCGTCGCTGTTAACTTGGACGAGAGGAGGGAGAATAAAATTTAACGAACTCTGGGACGCGATACGTCTGTATATCCGGTGACCAGCGCGGCAACCAGAGAAACGCTTAATTAACCTATTCATCATCGTCCGGTTGGGACTGTTGGGGCGACCGCGAAATAAGCCTAGCCAGCTGAAACGTTCGCGTCCTACGAGCTGCTAACGCTCGATTCTGCGCCCGTGTTCCGCTATACGCGCGTACGTACGTGGCTAACTTCGCACGACTCCCACGGATGTCGAGTATAATTACACGAGGTAGCGCGACACTGGATAGAGAAGGAGAATAGAGAGAGAGAGAGGGGGGGAAGGGACGAGAGTGTAGGTTGCAAATTCGGTACGATGCGTGCGACTCGTTGAATCCAATTCAACCGACTGAAATATAACACCCGTCGATTATTGCCGGCCGTATACACATGTACACGCGTACGTGTGCGGCTGTGACGCGTGCACACCGAGCATTAAACAGCCGCGCACACCACTAGCNGACGGGCAACAGAACACCGGTCGTCGTCCGGTTGTACGGCCACTGTCGGCCAAGCAATCTCTTTCCCCGTGGAGAGAGTGCGCCAGGTAATTAGCCAGGCTCCGGCTCTGTCGTCGATCCCAACTACCGAACCTGCTTTGTCTCTATATATACGTGTGTATATATATATATATATATATATATAAATATATATATATACACACA